ATTCCGAGTCATACAGTGATTTAATTATTGAAATGTTATAACACCACAACTAGCTAGCGTCGCTCCCAGCGGAGCTCCGAGCTATGCTCAATGCTGTGTGCTACGATGGGAGCAGCCTGGGAGGCGTCCGGTTAGGTTAGGTGGTGCAACTCAGCCTTACTTGTTACTCGTCTTGGAAAAACAGTCACACTATCAGCCAGAGATACTATCGACATCCAATAGTTTGTAGTACTATCAATGAAAGGTAAAACTATATCGGTATTTTCGATAGTTTTGCAACTTCAGTGTCCAAGCTGGAGAAACCTAGGAGGCGTCCGGTTCGCCACCCTGGTTTCTTCAACAGGAGCAAGCCGCCGCTCTCGCTAAAAAGAAGGCTCCAAAAACGTCTTCTCATTCGATTATATCGATAGGGCTATACATATTTTTACACTGTGGATTAAATTACAGCATTTAATGCTATTCAATGAAAGGTGAAAATTGTGATAGTAGCGATGAGATTTTTAGCCGATAGTATCCAGAGGGTTTTTAATTACATATGTCTTAGGAATGAGTAATTTGTAAGATCGATATTCAGGTACTACCCTACCAATTAATATCGGTAATTATCGATAGTACCGATACTATTAATAATTCAATCCTCGCCGCCGCTCTAACATCGAGCACGATACCTTTCTCATTCGATCATAATAATATCGATTAGATGGTACTATCAATAGCATCGGTACTCTAGACAGTATCGGTAGCCAATATAGTGGTAGTTTATACGTGTTAAATCTTGGTCCAAGTACCTCCAAGCAGATGAAGGATAAAACTATCAATAGGATCTACAGGGTATTAGGTAAATGGGTATATGAGCCGACACTAGTTAACATGGGCAATATGGGCATATAAAGGGTATGGTGAAGTCAAATAATTGATATCTTCATTTTAATTATTTTTATTTTCATACAAATCGAAATTTATTGAATTTATTTTGTATGAAAATTAAAAAAATTAAAATGGTGATATCAAATTTCTGACTTCACCATACCATTTATATGCCCATGTTAACATGGGCTAGTGTCGGCTCATATACCCATTTACCTAACACCCTGTATAACTATCGACAATCGATATTTTTTAATCAAAGCTATCGATAATAATACCAGTCAAGTCGATATTATTGCTACTAATTATACTATGAAGAACTATTATTGATAATATTTTTATTAATATTCGTCTAGTACCGATAGTACCGATACTATTAATATTCGTCTAGTACCGATAGTACCGATACTATCCATATATTTTTAGGCTAGTCCCAAGCAGCCCAGAGGGCGTCCGTTTCGCCGCCCTGGCTGCTCGGCACTGCCGTAACCCGCCGCGCTCGCTACAGACGATCGTAGTTAATCATATACCTACTTAGGTACCCATGATGTAACCAGGGTTACCATGGGAGGACATTTTCTGCCTTCCGGGAAAAACACCGACACTGTTTCCGTTGGAGTGTATTGAAACTGTAGCTGATTTTCTTTATACTTACCTGTAATGTTTTATTGAAGGAAAAGCATTTGAGATATTTTATTTTTAGTCAGTCAATGTAATATGTACTCGTATAATAAAACCATAAGGTTTTATATTATTTTCAATCTTAAAGGTATGTTTTATGGGAAAGATTTCACTCTCGTACCTCTTGATAATTATAAACTATGTATTGTTCAGCATCAAAATCCGACTGCTGTGTAAGTAGTTTTTGAAGAAGACGTACCTACTCGTAACAAGCACCCATCTATCCATGAAAATTTTCCTTTCTATTACTCGTACATTAATTAGTTCAATGGAATCACCAGTTAGCTTAAAATTAAAATTTGGGTATTGGGTAGGGAACCTCATTCGTTGGACTGGTAACCTTGATGCACCCCAACCACGTAGGGTAGCCATGTTCAAGGTCAAAGAAGGGTCCAGTGCATTTAGTATTTAGCATTTAGCTACTAACGCGCACTTTGAAGTGATGAGTATGCAAATGTTTAGCAATCGAAATTAGAGAAGTGGACTTCAGGTCTTGACTCAGAATGACAGTGATTAAAAGTAATTTTTGCATTTCATTGTACAAAAATAAAAGCTTTTTGTATGTGTGTAAATTGCGTATTAAATTACCTAAAATGACTTAAGGAGTAGACTTTTGTAGCTTATAAATAAAAATACTTGTACGTAATTCAAGAAGCTTTCTCTGAACTCAATTAATACGCAAATGGTGATGATTATTCCGTGCCTTCATTATTACAAAGTACAAACATTAGTCAAGGGGTTGAATTTCTATGTAAATAATCATTAATTTTTACTATTAATTTATATCCATTCCAAGTACTTAAATTATATAACTATTACGAATGGTGGCGTGTAATTAAAACCAAAAAGCATTTTTTGCCAGTCAACTTTTTATCTAACATGCGTGTTAACCTAAGTATATAATAGTAGTAAAAAATAAAATAGAAACTGCATCTTCCATTCTGGCATTAGGAAAAGTTCTTTAGAAGATGATAGGAGTGTAATTTAAAAAAATATATTACGCCCTACTCGAACAAAAATTGGCACTTTAAACTAAAATATTTTGCAAACCGATCCCTAAATCGAAAAATAGTCTTAGAAACCCCTAAATCATTTAAAAAGACCTATCCAACGATACCCCACACGATGGGCTAGAAGATAAAAAAAAATTCATCCCCATTTTACATGTAGGGGCGCTACCATAAAATGTTTTTTTTTTCTTTCAAAATTCTGTTTTATCGTTTTGTCGGCGTGATTAATACTATCACGGTCGTACTATCGGGGACTTCGAAACTATAAGGGTTCCTTATCGGGACTACGGAACCCTAAAAATTAACATAATGATTAAGAATGTTTATTTGAACAGACGTCAGGACCTGTTCAGCGTCCTTCGCGCTGAACAAACCGCTGACATCTGACGGACGGCGGCTCTCCAGCCGGCGGCCCGACACCCGACGACCCTATACCTGTATTTATTGATATAGTCCGATGTCGCGGCGTCTGCTGTCTGAAGCTAAAAATAAATGCGTCACATAGGTTTTGCCATTCTGATTTATTATTCCTGAAGTAGGTTCGATAGAAACGACTACAATTTATTAATTTGTTTATTGCTATAGTCCCAGTAACTTAAGTAGGTAACTACTTGCACGTACCCAACTGGGTACATCAATCTACATACTTTATAGCTAATAACTTTTCTTAGTCGTTACCTACTTAGGTATATGTTATCTTATCTTACTTATTTTATTTATTATACAATACATTATGCTTAGCGTATCTTAAAGCTAAAAATGTCGTCGTCCTTCTGTCGAACCTGCGCAAATTACATCTTACATTATTTTTCTTCGACTTTGAAAATTTAGCAAATTTTCTTAGTTTTTCCGACCTTCCATAATCTTGGATGATAAAATAAATACTAAATACTGTACTAAAATGTAAAAAAAACCAAACGTCTCGCAGTTACCCTTATCACACATGTAGATCACCTCATTTCTAAAAATGAGTGAATAAATAAGGAAAATTACCCTTACACTTGGGAAACGCCTAGCTACGCTGAACATTTTTTGACTGGAGATATTTTCTTATTATATTTTTGCTAAGCATTTTAGTCAAAAATCATACTTAAAAGGTTTGCATGGATTTTATGGCGGAATTTGTTATAGCTTGCGATCTCTGTCTCTATATTTTTAAGTATGGTTAATTTTCTCCCCATCCATTTAGATTCCGACTTGAATATTAATGATGAAGTCATAAGAACACAACTTTTTTATCAATATTAAAGAAGTTGCTACACAGTATTTAATAAGTATCAGTTAGCTTAGGAGACAGAAGGTAGTCTGTGAATTATGATTGATATAATCGTAGAGAAACCGAGAGAGTATTCAAATCTCATTTTTGTATTTGCGTTTGCTTATGATACATCTGCATTAAGAACATAATACTCGTAAATGGTCAGTGATACTCGTATACACGTCACGTTACATCGCGGTGTTGACAAGTCCTTCATCCCAAATATGTAGATGAGTACCACTTGCTGTATGTTAGAACATGTTTATTTGCATAAGTAGGTAAATAGACCGGTACAAACATACTAACACCTGTTGCTAGGTTGAAGTCATGTAGAGTGCTGTCTAATACTTTAACTAATGCAATATTTCAAAGTTAACCGTATATGAAAAATATTTTATTTTACCCAGCAACTCTCTCATTTCATGATCTCATCCACAGTCGCACCCTTCCCAAAATACCTGTTACTATGCAAAAATATCTAAATGTGTACATCATCCCGTCTGGCGCTCTTAGTTTACTCCGTTTCCCGCTGTAGCGCTCCAATCGGTCACTGTTTGTGAGAACCCCGACGGGGGCGCAGGCCGCATGCGCGACTTACCCGCGCATGCTTTGTATGGACTTAGGGCGCGGACACACGTGCGGATTTATTGCGAATAGTCGCAATTAGTATGCCTGTTAAGTTATTAAACCAGATGCTAAAGGATGTACTAGCGTTGGCAAGCGTTAGCTCTCTTGTGCTTACTAACAAGATGTTGAGAACCAGATACTGACTCTATCTACATCACAGCAAAATTACAGAGCAAATTGTCACAATAACAAAACTTTTATACTTTTTTATGTATTAGTTAAATGTGTTAACGAATGTTTTAGTCTCGTTAACCCATTCAGCTAACAGTAGAGTAGTAGGTACTAAATACTTTACTGACTCTATGATTGCAAAATTTAAGATCAATTACAAAAAAAATGAGCCCCAAAATTTTAGAAGTGCATTGACCTTAACCAGTTTTTAGGTGTAAGCTGCATTACACTCTATTTAAAAAGCTAATTAAGTAAAAAGAGATTGATAAATTATTAATGACCCATATCTAATTTACTTGACTTGACGCAAGTATGAACCTGGCTGTAGGCTAATAGCTAGGTATAGGATAGCTCTCGTTTGAGCCCGGCGAGCGTTCCAGACATTATCGATCATTGCTTTCTGATGGTCGTATCAGCAGTGACAATTATTTTATTGCTTGTGTAGTGATTTACGGTAAATAGTGAAAAAAATGGAGGCTATTAACCGCATTCATCTTTCCATCATCCGAGACGTAGAGGCTTTATTGAAAGATCTCACTCATGAGATCGAAGTATTTGAGTATGAACATATGGCTCTCTGCGATGACGACTTAGATGTTCCGGGCAACATGATCGAATTTGAGTTTTATGAGCTTGCCCAAGAAAGTGTAACTTTGATCAGGGCGCTCTTGGAAGAGATTCGGCACCTTTTCGACAATCTGCGTCAAACACTTTGGTAAACAACCAGAGTGTTAAAAAAACAAAAAAAAAACGTAGATCAGTGTATTATTATTTCGTAGTATTTTAGTAGTATATTCTGTAGTTTATTCGTCAGTGTATTTCGTGACTGTTTTCATCAGTAAAAGTATAATAACATTGTGTAAGATGCCTAAAATGTGTAGTTTTCGTATCGTCTTCGGCCGGCACAGCTACAGGTATGTCCACGTTGCAAAATATTTACCTCATGTTGTGATGCTTAAGTCTAAACATACCTCATTATTCTCCATTCTCAAGTTAATAGATAGATCGATTAAATAATACTACTTAGATATATTCATATTCATATATAAATATTTTCGCTTGTTTAGATACAACCCGCTGCACCCTGCTCCACCACAAAGAAGGTATGTGGAAGATGGTAGTTGTCAAATACCCATAAATCACAAATTTTCATTGGCAATACCTCCGTACCCACTCCCAATAAAAAATAATGTTTTATATTAAGGTGGTTGGTGGTGGAGTTATCTGTTATTAGGTGATGTAGCGGGATCCGGGACGCGTTAACTGAAATGTAGTCAAGAAACATCAAGAAAATTACGTCTGAATAAATAACGTCCGTAATTTTCCTTAATTGGGGCATTTATTTCCGGCGATTTATTGATTTGACCCGAGCTGATGGAATATGCAACTTACGGGCTTGGCATTTGGCTTTTATTCGCTTGATAGGTAGTTGCCTGCACTGCTATGCCCGGTGCATCGCAGCGCAGCGGCGCAGGTAACGCGCATCCCATCGATCCAATGCGTAGGGGTATGTACTATGTACTCTATTTTACATGGCTGAGTATATAATATAACACGTCTATATTCTTTTCTTCATGCTCATGCTATCGTATCTCATGGTTTATCATATGTCTTTACATACCTATTAGGTACCTACACTACATTATCAAATGTTTTACATAGGTAACAGATCCGGTTACATACTTAGTAGGTGATGTTTTTTCAGACCACGTTTTACACTATTACGGAAAATATTAGTTGCTTTCGGAAATTAAGTGACAAAAAAGGATTTTTTGAATACCTTTAATGTAGTTCAAACACTTGTAAAATGAACTAGGAGCTCAATATTAATTTCAAGGCAAGGGCAATAAAACTAAGCAATTTCTACCTATTGTGTGCACTTCAACTTGTTGAGAATGAAGACCACGTCCATTTAGCTAAATTGACCCAGACCCAGACCCAGATAAGCGACCCAGATTTGCATCCCGCGTGCAATAAATGTTGGGGAAATGAGTACCTACTCACACATTGATATTCTTCTTAACGTTAATTTTTTTTTTATTCAGGAACATGCTGTTCAAGATTGAAGACGAGAGCTACGAGGGCTACGAAGCTGTGGAGAGAAGCAAGGGCAACGTCTCCAAGGCAGAAGACACCATCGAGGCTGCACAGAAGGAAATCAACGTAAGTCCAAGTTTCATAATCCTATAGGTAAACGCTACAAAGCCAATAATTTTATTAAATTGCAAGCTTCATTAACACATTTTTGCGATCAGTTATTTTATACCACTGTTACTTGTTTTTCTACATACAACCATATTTGTGCCTCTAGAGCGCTCTTGAATATCTGGAGGGCGAAGGCGCCGCAGCCTTGGCCAAGGCCCGCGACCGCTCCGACCAGTTCGGCAAGCAGTCCGGAGAAATGTCCAACCTGGCCAAGGAGTCTCGTCTGCTGGCCGAGAGGCTGGAGAACGAGGCCAGGAACATCAGGGAGATCGCTGAGAAGGCATTCAACAGCTCGCTCTCCGCCAACAAAATTGCTAAAGATGGGATCACTAAGCAGGCAAACATCAGGTAACTTGCAAATGATGATCTTTTAGCGCAATGCTATGTGTTTTTCAGTAGCAACTATAGATGCCTCTAAAGTTTTGTACATAATCTTTTGGCAATAAGCAGTAATTTTCACCTCTTCCTCCAGCAACGAAATCCAGATCCTGAGCAACGAGCTGAATGCAGCTAGCGGGAAGCTGAGCAGCATGGCTGAACTTGCCGAGCAAGCGCTCGACCGCGCCAAGAAGGTCTACGACGAGGCTCTGGGCCTGTACGCAGAGGTCAACACCACCATGCTGCCCGACATCAAGATCTGGAACCTGAAGCAGGACGCCGCCGAAGTTAACAAGACCGTAAGTTCTTTGTTATAAAGTAGCAATTACAATAATGGTGATATTCAGCATTACTATCTAATGTTATTTAAACTTAGATTACTAACCAGTTGCTTTAACCTGCAGATTGATAGCAAATCAGCAGAGCTGGATCGTCTCATTGCCGAAAACGAGGAAACTCTCCACACTCTCGACACAGCTGTAACTCGGGGAAGGGAGCTGCTGGACCAAGGCCACGACAGACAGGACGAGCTCAACGACCTGCTGGCCAAGCTGGACGAGCTGCAGGCGCAGGCCCGACACGACGTGGAACTCACCAACGCTACCTTGAAAGAGGCAAATGAGATCTACAAGACGCTTAAAGGTAATCGCGTTCTTCCCAGTTTTTAGAAACTTGTGTTCCTTTCAGAATAGTTCAATATAAATCATTATATTTTGCAGAATTCAGCGACCAAGTGACGGAGTCCCGCCAGCAGGCCAACCAAGCTGCTCAAGAGGTGCCCAGCATCCAAGAGAAGGTAGCTGCCGCTGAGGAGAGCATCAACAGCATTACTGAGGAGCTGACCGTGGCCAGTGACCGAGCCAAGGAAGCCAGGGACATGGCGCGCCAGGCGCAGATGGAATACGCCGAGAAGGCCTCAGAGGTATTGCATTATATTATTTTAAGCTCGCTGGTACGATTAAAATTCTTGCCATTTCTTCCCATTGTTCCAAATGGTTCAAATCTAAACTCATGCGAGAGAATACATGTCATTTTTGCTAGCGTTCAACACACCATGTGCGAAAATATGCATTGCTTAGAGAAATCTTTTATTACCTTAACATGTTGGTGCTTATTTTAGAATTCTGACATTAAAATTTGTTCTGCAGGCTGCTCATGAGATCCGCAAGAAAGCGTCCTCGGCCAGAGCTGACGCTTCCAAGCTCAGGGATGAGACCGACAAACTGTCTAGTAAGTTATTCTATTTTTTTTAGTACCAGAAATACAATATTACAAGCACTGTAACATTTTGTCTCTCTGCTTTAAGTCATGTGCATTTTGTGCTCACTAATTGATTTGATATTCATTGCAGCGCGTGTTCAAGGAACTGCTAAGCAAATCGAAGATCTGGAGAAAGAAGCAGCTGATAATAAGCAGCTTACAGGCGACGCGAAGATGAAAGTACGAATTAAGTTACATTCCCATATCTGTATGTTGTGCCAAAGCGAGGGAATTACATAATGTTTGTGTGCTCATTCATTTTGAAACCTTTTACGACGAGAAAATAAAACCAATAATGTACTCCATTGATTGTCTATAGTCATTATTGAACGCCCTAATCAATAAACGCTCTGCGCATGTCAAATAAACAAACGTTCCGCACATGCGCGATGTTACAGCGCAAATCAAACCTAACTTTTGGCTGGTGGTTTGCAAACAAATAGACAAAGTACAGTACCTTTTCTAACTACTCTGAATTCATCCATAAACCATTAACCTCTCCTATCAGAATGAATCTATCATACATAGTTATGACCGGTTGTTCTTATCACTTCTTTATATTCTTCTCAATATAGGTCGGTCAAGCCAACACCGACGCTAGAGAGGCCGACAAGCAAGCCTCTCAAGGTCTTGAAGACCTGAAGATCATCATGGAGGAACTTCAGAATCTGCCTACACTGGACGACCAAGCATTGGATAGGCTGCGTAAGTTTCTTACCGTAGCCACTGATCTTCCATGATCATAGAAGTAAGTGGTTTCTTTGGATAGCCTAATTTATAAGTGTTCTTTTTTAACTTTCGCTTGTCTTTACAGAGGAAAGCTTGGATGCAGCTGAGCAGGCCTTGCGGGCGGCTGACCTTGATGGCAAGATCAAGTCGCTGACAGAAGCAAAGAACAACCATCAAAGGTAACAGCAGTAGTTACTGATCATTATGGAATTCCTTGATGGAGGCCATCCAGCAATAGGAGTTGATGGAAAAAATGATCGAACTATTTTTCGGTGGTTGCTAACACCATTTTTGTTGCAGGTGGATGAAGCAGTACCAAGAACAGCACCAAGAGCTCCAAGGCGAGGTGGACAACGTGAAGGACATCATGGAGCAGCTGCCTCAAGGCTGCTTCAAGCGCATCGTGCTCGAGCCCACTGAGGCGCCCAGCCGTCCCGCCTACAGCAACTAGACAGCACCAGGTAACCATCACTCAATGACGAAGCGTCCCTTAGAGACGGGCCCTGTATCAAACTTGGTCGGGGGAACCCACATAACGTTAAAGGTTCAAGGAAACACTTTACAACTGATACAGTAGTAGTACATACGCCCCTGCTACCATCATCATCATCACCCTTGTAGGCATCATCTATATTCTCGTCTTCAAGTTTAGCAAAGTTTAGTTTTACAAGGTTCTGCCGGGATATAATCATCAAACACCGTAAACATCACCATCATTCGGCAATCTAAATACTTACATCATCAAATGGAGGAATTTACACTTAAGGAACATACAGACGGACAGACAGACAGACAAAAATTTTACTGATTGCATTTTTGGCATCAGTATCGATCACTAATCACCCCCTGATAGTTATTTTGAAAATATATTTCATGTATAGAATTCTGTCCGTCTGTATGTTCCGTATAGAAACAAAAACTACTCGACGGATTTTAACGAAACTTGGTACAATTATTCTTCATACACCTGGGCAGGTTATAGTATACTTAGGAATTCCCACGGGAACAGGAATTAGCGGAAAAATCCTTTTGTATGAAAAATCTAAACGCTTAACGGAAGTTAGACGCTTGAAATTTGGCATGTAGGTACCTTAGTAAACTCAAAGCTTAGTTACAACAAGTAATTACCGAAATTCCCACGGGAATCAGCGGGAAAATCCTTTTGTATGAAAAATCTAAACCGCTTAAGTAGACCTGAAGTGATACAGATGCCCTCTATCTCGAAAACGGTTCACCGTATAAAAAATTTTTTTAAACAAAATTTGTAGAGAATTTAGTATTCTACAATATTGATAATAAATACAAATAGCAAAAAACCCATAGGAAATGAGATATTTCCAAAAAAAGCGCAAAAAAACGATTTTTGTGACCTTTGACCTTAAAATTTAATAGTTGCTTACACCCTACCATATGTAGGTTTTGAGACAACTTTTAGGGTGTCAATATACACGTATTTACAGACTTACAGCTGGGTATCTCGAATTCCGAGGTGAACTTACTATAATGACTGGACTATTTACATTTTCATCTTGCAGGTAGAGACGAAAAGAGGCTTAGTGTAAGATGATATTTTATTTTTTGCAGGTATAAACTGTGTGGCTGAATACTATCAGGAGCGTCGGAGATACGTCGACGCAGTGATGCGACTCTCATGAATACACATAGTCACACATTTTAGAGTCAGTAATTTGAACCGTGTAGCTATGATCGGTCGGATAATATAAAAATAATAAAAAGCACAAAAAAATAATAGGTTACTTATTTTCTGTGGGGACCTCCGGAAAAAACAACATTCTGAGGGTCTTAGCTCTCGATTGATTGTAAAAAAAAGGGGGCACCGCGTCATTTACTCACTAATATAAACGTAAAATTACTGACTCATACAACTAATAGTCATTGATGTTGTGTCCATATAATAATCGTAATAATACTCTCAAGTTTTAATCTCACTAAAATCTATCCAAGAGGCTACCAATCCTAACAATGTTGTACTTTGCTGTACCTATTTTAATTTGTATTCAAAAAGAGGCGACGCTCCCAACATCCCTGTGCCTTGAAACTTGTTCTTTTTTTATTTTAGGTTAAATATGACGAAAATATTTGTTATTGTATCAAGTCATTATAGTTTTAATAAAGTTTTAACTTCCTATATTATTTCTCGTATGAAACCTTTTTTACATATTTTTAGTAGGAGTGTGGGTGCTTGAGCAGAGCAGTGCTGTAGAGTTTCAGTACGGAGGACATTGAGTACTTTTGTCTGATATACTTAAAACCTACCATCTCGATATTTAACGTCTTTAAGGCATCACTATTATACCTACTATTAACTTCTATTACAAGGTCACTTAATGCAGATATCCTGAAGAAAGAAAAGTTGCACAAAAACTCTACCGTCTACCCTGCTTAGGCACTCCCGCTAGCACTGACTAAATTGTAATTACAATTAAAGCATCATCGATGCTCTATTTTGATAAAAATATACATTTATCTTAGTCCCGTTAATTTACTAGTTTCTGATGCTTTTAGAACTACAAAAATGTTGATGATTCCATTGCCCTGGCAATTTAGGTTTATTTCGTGAATTTATTCCATGTTCTACCTATAGCTTCGATTATGAGAAAAATGATAGGCGACAGCGTTATGTTTATATTTCAAAAAGTGCCATAGGATTGTAGTGACTTATCTTCTTTATTATTGTGTACTTATGTACAGTCGACGGCACATCAGCCTCCTATTAATGGTGAATATTCCCAATAGATCGTGGAATTTGTGCGTCTTGTAATACGGTTCAAAATCGATTATGGTAGGTTGGTGTACTATCCACTGTGCTAACTGCATTTATCCGCATTTTTTGTACTTAGAATAGTATATTGTAAGGTCTTAAATATATCAAATAGTAAATTACTCAATTAGTAATAGCATTTTTGAACAAAATTCACCTTTTTTCATAACTTTGCCCGCTATACGGGGTCGGCCATTTTAATGATAAGTGCCCAGGCAAGTATTGCTGAATAAAATTGTAGGTATCATTTTGTAAGTTAGTACCTACCTACTGAATCACTGCTTAAAACCACTTGTTTGTCTGTAACACTATAAGTATAACTATACTTTTTAATAATAACTCTGAATACACATTCATTGTAGTCACATTGATGTCGAATTTTATCCAATTTAATAATAATAAAGCACGGACCCATTAATGTATTTTTAAATTATTTCACAGTGCCATTATTATGTATTCTGGTACAATTGTAAATATTTTAGTTAAATGTAAATATATGATTAAGTTCAATTTTATTGCTTTCATTAGGTTTGAACACTATTTAATCAAAACAATCGGTTCAAATAGTCCTGGATTCATATCGCCAAAGAAAAAACAATATAATTATGTACGTGTATTTAGTTTTTTTGGATACTATTTTGTGCTTTTTCTGAATGATTTTGTGAGTTTATTAATATAAATGTAGTTTATTTATTTGCATCAAAGGGTTTTATTTCACAACCTTCTACTAAATTTTTTGTGGTACAGTCAACGTCAAACAGTGGTTAAATAACCACTTGTCATTTGATATTTATCAGAAAAAATGTTTTTAAAGATGACCCACGCTGAACTGTCCCACCAAACTCAATGACAGGGGGGCGCTACCATCGTTCAACTATAATGGTTTCCAACATGGCAAAAATCGGAACCAGCGATCCGGTATTGACGGTGGCGCCCCGCTGTCAATGTCATGGATAGGACAGTTCAGTATTTTGGAACTATATTGGCAAAATTTAACAATTAGTTAAATAATTAATAATAATAAATATCCTTGGACATTTTACACTGCGCCTCTAGTCCCAAACTAAGCAAAGCTTGTACTATGGGTACCTACTAGACGACGGATATAAACATACTTAAATACCTACTTTCTTTTTTTTTGTAAATACATAGGTACATATTATACATAGAAAACCCACTATCTGTGACGGGTCTGGCCCGTCACAGAAATTAAAATTCATCATTTCAATTTCTGCCCGGCCGGGAATCGAACCCGGGACCTATCGGCATAGTAGTCCGTTCTGAACCACTACACCAAACGACCGACGTTAGTTATTTTAACTATGAATCAAAAAACTGGGCCTTAGCAAATCGAACGCACAGCGTTGAATAGAGCTCTGAAATTGGTTTGTGTGTCACGTGTGCGTTCAAGCGCACTGTGAGACCTCATAGTAATGTTTGTGAATACGGGCGAAAGATTTCGTGCTGTGTGTCCGCAGCCAATCCGCGTTCCGGGCTCGCTTCCTCCGATGATATTTATTTTTTTGGAGTTACATATTGCGATTCCGACATCCATAGGAGAACCAAAACTGTAGTGAATAGTATTGGCGCCCCACGTTAGATGTCGCTAGTAGTTTTTTGTCATTAGATACTACCGCCCCACTACAAGCTTAGGGCGCGAGTGGCAAACATTGAAACTAAACTTGGAAGCGTGTAAATCGAGCCCATTGTTTAATAATAGTTCCTAAATATCTCATAAATGGTTGACTTTTCCATAAATAAATTGGTTGCAAATGACCTGTAGGTACTAAAAACAAGAACTATAGGCATGGGCTACAATACGTACGGAGTTACTGTAGCAGGATTGCGAAAATCGTAGTAAGAACACTACGAATCATTTTCGTAGCACTTGCAGCGAAAATATCAATTAGAATATTTTTTCTGAAGACAGTTTGTTACTTTATGAGTAGGCGCACACCGTTGATTTTTCGTCACTTGCAAATGACCTGTAGGTACTAAAAACAAGAACTATAGGCATGGGCTACAATACGTACGGAGTTACTGTAGCAGGATTGCGAAAATCGTAGTAAGAACACTACGAATCATTTTCGTAGCACTTGCAGCGAAAATATCAATTAGAATATTTTTTCTGAAGACAGTTTGTTACTTTATGAGTAGGCGCACACCGTTGATTTTTCGTCGGCCGATAGTTTAGTCGGGCAGTTGATCAGTATGGGCATGTATGGGAGTGCGCACACTACGCCGATTCGATTTGGCCGATTGTTCATACAATTTAAAATCGGGCACAACTATCGGCCAACTAAAAATCAACCGCCGCGCCTACTCTATAAGTTTGTAAGGCCTATTGATTCTAACAGGGGAGTATCTAGGGGTGCCACCTAGCTAAATGCCCGGGAACAACCACGTCTAGGCTGGCTCAGCGCGGCCTGCTATTTATGAGCAAGAGCAGCGTCGACGCGGAATCAAGAAATGAGGTTCACTAATAGGGGACTCTGTTAGATGAAATGAAAAAATAGACAATTTTATGTTTATTAAAAATGTTTAAAAAGAACTTAGAGAGAGGTAGTAACTTTTTGTAATAAGTTAATGTTTTTTTAATACACCAAGTACCTAATGCCCATTTAATATGCCACTCTTTAACCTACTAAAAAAATATATTTTGCGACTTGGATAATAAGTAAGGATTTTTAAGGCAAGCATGGTCGCTCTCTTTTAATGCTTATAATTTGTTATTTAATAGACCATTTAGTTTACAAATGTGGTGTTGTATTGTGTTCAAAAGTAAAGCGTGGTGAAAACTATAAAATTTAAAAAAAAAACATACCATTTGAGTGCCTAATTAAAACAACGGCACATTCAAACCATACATTTTGATGCGAAATTGCACCTTAAACTGCAGTTGTTTAAGATGTTTGTGTTCAGCTTGACGTGCCGTCGTCGTTTGTCGTTGCAGCTGATGGCTTACCTGTTCGTGTATATTAAACTTAATAAAATAATATTACTTTTGAAATATCTGTAAAAAAAAAGCAAAAGCGTGCGCAACGTCGATTTTGGGGGAACCGGCTGGTATCGATCCAGCTACCTCGTGCATGCTAAGCAAGCGCTCTACCATCTGAGCTACGGCTCCTTACTGTGAGCTACGAAAAACGGCATGACATTCAGGATTGTGACTTCATCACTTCAGCAAACATTCTATTACGTAATACAATTTCAATTTCTATGATTCTATTATAAAGAAAAATAGTGCTTTGGGCCCTATTAAAGAGCAGTGAAGTATATACCATAATAATAATAATAATAACTCGCTAAGCCTGGCTAAAGAATAAAACAATTATTATTGCTTAGAGGCACGGGCTACATTATACACATTAAGGAGATAATGAATTTTGTTGAGTGTATTCACTCAACAAAATTCATGTCGTGTTTCGTAGCAAGATTGCGAAAATCGTAGCAAGAACTCTACGAATCTTTTTCGTAGCACCACAGAATAATAATGTAGCACTTGCAGTGAAAATATCAATTAGGGCTGATTTTTCAATCGTCAGTGGGTCTAGACAAAGTGCAAATTATAATCGCAAACCAGTCGAAAAGTGGTCGAAAAGCCCCTTTTTTGTATGGAGTTTTGACGGATTCGATTTTCGATTCGATCAAAAAGTGCGTTTTGTCTAAGGGGGCAGATATTTTTTTAGCTGAAAAATAATCTTGTCATTTTGGCATATTTTCCATACTAAAACGGTTAATGTGCCAAACTTATTCTTCAGTTAAAAGTTAACCGACCCGATAAGGTACATTTGTATTGAAAATTTATTTTATGGTCAAGTTGGTCAATTAATTTTATTAAGTAAAATATGTAAAATTCTTAGGTAGATAACGCATAATTAATTAATACCACCCAGGTCCACAGCTGGAGCACAGAAAGTTGAATAGGCCCTCTACTATTTGTCCAAAAACTCGAGTCATAGTCCCACAATATACCTCTACGCCGTTTAACTAGAGGGCGCTGTCAGTCCCTATCTCCACTCCATGCCGCCTCAGTTGGTATCACAATAAACTTACGTACTTACATAAGCTATATACAACGTGTCCCAAAATTCAAGGATAAGCCGGCGCCGCAGGATGGACATAGTCATGACTACTTTAGGAAAAATAAGGAAAAAAATCTATCTCAATTATTTTTTAAGTTACACAATAAATTACGAAATTCTTCGAAAATTGACACCCCTTATGATATTTTACATTACCACTACCGCCATTTTTCAAATAATTCTGTTTTTTTGTTTGTATCGGCAACTTAAGTAGTGCTGCTGTCCACCCCAACTCTTAAAACCCCCAGAATCCTTGCAGTTTTTACACAAAAGTTAGTCAAAATATGTTATTTCCTTAAAATTTTGAACGATTTTTACTTTCACTCCACTTTGACTCATCGTTTTGTAAAAAAAATGTATGAACACTACTGCGGCAAGTCTATATATACAGTGTGAGTCACGTTAAAGTGTACATATGAAAATAGATAAAACTAGACCTGTTTTTATCGACAAAAAAGAGGTCAAAAATTTTTTGAGATTTTTTTTTAATTTTTTATAGAATTTTTTTTCTTCCAATTACTTAATGTAAAGAAAACGTAATAACTTTTAAACTAAGCGGTATATCCTAATAAAATAAAAACAGTAATAATGCTAAATAACAGGCTGTCTCTATCCCTATCACAACGTTTGCAATGATCGTTTGAACTAAGCCTCTCCGGGCGCGCCATTCAACGCTTCGTTAACAACAAAACTGAAAATGGCTCTAGATTTGTAATTTTGATAAAGACAAGTTAGATTTCAAATAAAAACAAAAGATTTCGAAGTAAAATAAGCATTTTAGTTAAAATTAAAATTGTCTCTACCTGTAGCGGAGAATAATGTTGTGGCAGGCCTTTGTTCAAACGATCATAGCAAATGTTGTGATAGGGATAGAGACATGCGATTTTTAGTTTTACAAAGATAATACGATAGAGAATAATACAAAGTAATAAAAACCACCAGTTATAGGGGCATTTTTTGGAGAAATTTATCAAATAACCAAAAAAACACGAATTTTTAAGCAGATTTTTTTCAAAAATTATCATTTTTTATTATTTGTTGGCCTTTTTTGTGTATTTTATGTATTTTTTTAGTATTGCCTGTTATTTAGCATTATTACTGTTTTTATTTTATCAGGATATACCGCTTAGTTTAAAAGTTATTACGTTTTCTTTACAATAAGTAATTGGAAGAAAAAAAAATCTATAAAAAATTAAAAAAAAATGTCAAAAAATTTTTGACCTCTTTTTTGTCGATAAAAATAGGTCTAGTTTCATCTATTTTCATATGTACACTTTAACGTGACTCACACTGTATAAAAGAAAGTCGTGTTAGTTACTCCACTTATAACTCAAGAACGGCTGAACCGATTTAGCTGAAAATTGTCAGGGAGGTAGTTTAGAGCCAGGAGAAGGACATAGGATACTTTTTATCCCGTTCGAAATATAAAAAAAAGTCTGCTTATTTATTACCATTAAGGCGGAACAAAGTTCGCCGGGTCAGCTAGTATTAAA